GTTAGCAGTAGTGACGTTAGCAGTAGTGACGTTAGCAGTAGTGATGTTAGCTGTAGTGATGTTAGCAGTAGTGACCAGTGTTTTAATCTAGTTTTGAATGTACATTTGTATCCTGTTTTTATTAATTTTGTCATGTTTAAGTTTGTATGAAGGTGCTGGCTGTCGTCACCACCACTATTACTGTAAATGAATTGAACCTAATAAAGTGAAGTGTTAGTGTCTTTGTCCTCCTCAATGAAATGCATTGTTTGTCTGAAATCTTTACTTCTCTGCAAAGAAAAATAAACTCTGTTGTGGTCAACACTAATTAGGCCTTCATCCTACGTGACTGTTTAAACAATGAACAGGGAAGGTGCTTCTTTGTTTAATTTATATGTTTGTAACACACTCGATAACTTTATGGTGAATAGTGGACAGAAAATGTGAACGCACATTAGGAAGACTGTTTTTATGACCAGTGCACCGCTTGTAAACCTGCTGTGGGTCTATGCATAGCGTGGATCTGATTAGCTTAGCTTCATAGTTGCTAACAGCCGCGCTAAATAAACAAGCCCCACTTCACTCACTGTTTACTGAGATTCTTGTGGGTGGACAAAGTAAAAAAAATAAATAAATAAATCAGCCATTATATTGGTTATTGGCTGTAATATAGACCAATATCTGTGTTGACGACAGCCAAAATGTCCATATCGGTCGGGCTCTAGTTAGCAGTAACACCATTAGCATTGGCAGTGATAGACAAGCAGAAGAATGACGCAGATTTTTCTAAGAACCTGAAGAGACCTCTGTGTATTTACATTGGGAAGACTTTTGTAAATAAAGGTAAACATTTTGAAAGGTATAAAAATTACAAAAAATTAAATGTTGTAGCACTGATCTCCTGAATGGCTAAAACAGCACAAAGAATGTGAAATGTGCTCAAAACATGGAAAAATAATAAAAGACAAAGAGAAACAGGAAAACGGCTAAATTTCCAACCGTTTTGCTGTCTTCGCTGGCGCTGGTGGGGTCTTTCGTTTGGTAGTTTGGCCCAGGCAGAGCGGGGAAGTCCTCGTTGTGGATGGAGAAGTCCTGCGTCTGCTCGTTAGATGGCTTCGTTACCATGCCGACTGGAGATAAAACCCATTAAAATAATCAGTGTAATTAAACAATTACAAACACCAATTGGACACAAGTGTTACCAGGTTTTATCAAAATGTTGCTAACAGACAAACTGGTGGTTGTGTTACCATAGGGCGCCCGGCCGGCCAGCGGGTTGTGCTGTGGGGCACAATTCGAACTTCCGTCCCTCCGACTCCGGTCAGCTAACGCTGGGAAGTCGGAGAGGTCCAAACCCGTCACATTCTCACTGCCGTCTGGAAAAACAGAAAACACATCATACTGTTTAAAATTTAAATAAATAAAACCAAGTGTCTGGATTCAAACATCAAACCTTGAAGTGAGGTCGGTCATGTCTGTTACCTGTGCCGTTAAAGATGTTGCTGGATAAAGAGCTGTTCATGTTGAAGCCTGGATTCCTGTTTAGAGAAGAAAAAATAAAAACAAAACTTTTCTAACAAAAACTCACACAACACCAGCAATACAACTTTATAAAGTGCAGTTAACAAAATCAATAAGTTCTACACCACAAAGGGGGCAGAAAAGAAATGTCTCCCAAAAAGAGGCGGAGCATCATTTTACTCCAAAAAAAGGGTGGAGCATTACCTCCAGACAAAAAAAGATGAAGTTTTGGGCAGAGGATTAAATAAATCATCATCAATCAGGTTAAAATTTAACAACAGAAAAAAAATTGTTTTTGATTTATTGTTAATTTTATATTTTACCTGTTAAATGTGAACGGCTGCCTCGACTGTGGCTGTTTGGGCATCCCTATGATGCTCGGAGACGACCGGCTGGGACTCCCCATGGTACCGCTCCTCCCTCCTCTCTCTCCTCCTCCTAACCCACTCGTCTGACCCGTCGGACCGCCCACCTGCTGGTTGTGGTTTAGGACGCTCCGGCTGCTTATGGGCAGGATCCCCCTGCAGGGAAAGAAAAACGAGGCCCGACGTTTGTGGGTTTGAAAAAAGCGTCACGGGTGGAAACTGAAACGATGAAGAGCAGCCGGAAGACGAAGAAAAATGTAAACTCCTGATCCAAACGTGTCGATCCACAGACTGAAGCGTCTCGGTGCGACAGACAGGAAGCTGCGTGCGGTACCTGCTGGGTGAGGGCGGCGTGTGCAGCGAGCTGGAGTTGGGGGTACTGGTGTGACTGGGCAGCTGGCTGGCAGACTGGTTCAGCCCGCTCCGACTGAGCTGAGGCGCGGCGCTGCTGTTCATCCCTCGCATGGGAAACCCGAGCGCACCTGCACCGACGGAAAGATGAAACGGGTCAGAAAGCAGAACCGATTTTGACGTATTGTTCTTTTTGTGTGACTGGTTGTGTGTTTGTGTGACTGGTTGTGCGTTTGTGTGACTGGTTGTGTGTTTGTGTGACTGGTTGTGTTTGTGTGACTGGTTGTGTTTGTGTGACTGGTTGTG